TTAGAAAGAATGAAAGCAGGTGGGTCCAATTTGTGTGGAAGTACTAGAGTTTCCACTATGTTACGGTGTCTTTGGGCTGGTTTTTCCTCTTCTCCATAGACTGGAAAAGGCTGTGAAGTTTTGTAGTCTTCACTGGACCAGAAAAGGCCCTGTTTGTGGTTAGAATATGCAGCTGTCTAGCAGTGGTATTTAATGGGCCTTCCACACTCTCCCATTTCACTGGGTATGAGTTTCAGTGACCAGGATTGAGTGGAATTTCATTAGACTTTTAGGAAGCAGTTTAAAATACCACTGTAACACAGTTTAATGTATGCGAATGTTTTAAGATTAAAGTGTAACTGATTGCCTAAATTGTGAGACAGGACAATAGACAGGATCTTATTCACAAAATTTATGACCGTGCCAAGGCACTGTTTCTGACTGCGTATCATTCAGACAAAGGAAAGGAAACTCTCCATCTTTATTTTTCAGTTTCTGAGGCTGCAGATTATATTATATGGACCACTAGCAAGTGGGAGACATCTGTGCCCCCTTTTGATAGCATCTTAGGATTAGTTTAAGGGAGCAGATACTGCCTGGTAAACCCATGCTCCCCAGTCTAGAAAGCCTGTGAATAAAGGGGGGATATACCAGCAGTGAACAAGAATCTTCTAGACACTGTGCTGGGTGTTCTCACAGTAGAGCTATTATTATTTAGTTTTACCATGAGAAAAGGTCAGCACAGATACTAACTTTCCAACAAGTAGTTTGTGGTAGAGGCAGGATTCTAAAGGAGGCCTGCCAGCCTTCAGTGTCCTTTTTTCTTTCTTTTAATAAATATGGCATTTGCTTTGTACTGTTTCCTTCTACAGTCTTTATTCTTTTTTCTGACCTCAATAAAGGTCTTCGTGAATGGGCTTGATACATTTTTTTATTTTTATTTTTGAGATGGTGTCTCTCTGTGTCACCAGGGTGGAGTGCAGTAGCACAATCTTGGCTTACTGCAAACTCCACTTCTTGGATTCAAGCAGTTCTCCTGCCTCAGCCTCCCAAGTAGCTGGGACTACAGGCACGTGCCACCCTGCCCAGCTGATTTTGTGTTTTCAGCAGAGATGGGGTTTCATCATGATGACCAGGATGGAGTTGGTTTCGTGACCTCGTGATCCACCCGCCTTAGCCTCTCAAAGTGCTGGGATTACAGGCATGAGCCACTGCTCCAAGCCTGGGCTTGTTACATTTGGAGAATATAGTTAAATGAAGTTTTTCCTAATTTGTCAATTTACATTGGATTCGGTACAGTGAATGTCTATTTAGGGTCACTTATCCTGCCATAGAAAGGGGACACAGGGGACAGACATGGGTTGGTTTGTTTTCACAAGGTAAATGTTGGGAGGGGCTTTATATCATCATTTGACAGTCTCCGCATCATAATTTGATGATATTTAGCCTTTAAGGTACAGAGTCCGTTGATAGTTAAAAACCTGATTTCAATTATTCTAGAGTTGCAGTGCAGAATGGAAGAATCATCCCTTTTGAATAAAGTCCAACAGTGGTTTCATTTACTGCATATAGATTGTTAATTAGCTCTTTTTCTAAGAACAAGAAACCAAACTTTAAAATGTGTGGGCTTTTTAGTGGCAAAATAATTAAAAGATTAGTCCTCTGTCACTTCAAAAATTAGCAATTTTACCTCCTCCTCATCGTGGAAGTCAGATGAGTGATAACATTGTCTCAAAAGTATGCCTTCTTTGCCCTTGTCTTTCCCACTTTTTTCATGTTTTTAAAATTTTTCTCTCCTGCTTTCTCATTACTTCTGAATCATAATCAGGATCGTCATTTCCATTCACTGGTTTGCCTTCCTTCAATAGTTTGAAAATAGATGGATATAGGGAAGTAGGAAGGTATTAGGTGACTATAAATTATTAAAGTGCCCAGTTTATACCTTGAGGGATTTCATGGTTGTTAGATCAATTACAGGACACGTTTCTCGATTATTTCATTTGCAGTGTGCCATTTCCAATTCACTTTCTCTTTTACTCATCTTTTGTACATGCTAAAAATGTACCTACAGTGTTGCAGGCCCCGTGCCTGGGGGTTGCCAGCCTGATTGCTCCCCGAGCCTGTGCATCTGGTGGTTCTCAGACATCACATGCCACCTTGCTCTGTGTGTCTGAGTTGTGCACGGTTTTCAATTCCCTTGCTTCCCCACTTAGAAAAGAATATCTGAATTCAGGAAAGTATAAGAAATTATAGTTAATCTTGAAGCTGTCCTAGAGAATATAGTGAATCATCATTACAATTTGGCAAAGGAGTTTGTGTCATTGTTTGTGACAATCCTCACAACTAACTGATCTTGAGGATCTGATGTGCCAGGATGTTTCTGAGCATATAAGTATAGTCTTGGACCATTAAAAGGCCTGGCAGTGGAGGTATGATGTAGCCAAATGATTATAATTCAAGGGAAAATGTGGTAAGTGCATTAGCAATGTAAAGTCTTTCTAATATATTTCTGGGTGAGAAAGATTAATTTCTGGAGTATCAGAAAAGACATTTTCTCCAAAGTGGTATGTGAGCTACGTGGAAAGAATTAGAAGTGAGGGAGGACTAAATGCGATTATTTTGAACCCAGATGGAAGCCACATATACCCCTCATTAATTTGAGTCTTGAGATCCTGTTTTCTCTTTGAACGTTGAAGTTATATGTATATACACAAAGGTCCACACATATACACACATAATATACATATATACATTCACACATAATTAAATAACAATGTAATTCAAAATTCTTGGGACCGAAGGTATGTTTTTCTCCAGGCATTGGCCATCACTTTACTCTCTACAGTTGATAGAAGCGGCCTTACCTGCAGTTTCCCACTGATTTACTTTACTGTTGAAAATACTGAACCCTCAAGTGGGCAAACTACCACTCAGGCAGCTCATCCTGAAGTGACTGATGTGCCACAGAAATGACCATTTCCTCTTCTCTCTGCGTAGCACTGGCACTTCTGGAAACTGGGTGGCTTGTGCCAACTTTTATTTGTAGGTAGATGGGAATTGTTAAGTGGTCTATCAATTCACACGATATCTTTCTTCTCTTATTAAGAGCACATCAGATACCTAATTCCATTTAGTTTTCAATAACTTCTTATATTCTTTAGTTAGCCACACAAGTCATGTAATTGCTTCAGATATTCTGGCATGAGTTTCTTGCTAAGAAAGCCATAGGAACATATTTTTCTTTTCCTCGTTTCTTTTTCTTGACTGGACATAACTTTTAATAAATTAATGAGAACTTTTATTAAAAATGAAGATTTTCTAGAACATTATTTATTAAAATGAGGGGTTTTGTTGTAGCACAAGAAATAATCTCTTTATCAATATTAGACTCAGTAAATTGTGATACTTTTGTATTTTAGACTATTACACAGTTACTTTAAAATGAGAACAATCAACATGTATTGACCTAGATAGAAGAGTATGATATATGCAGCTTAAATTTTTTAAATGGCTGTGTTTATTGATATATTTGTGTATTTAAAAAGATGTAGAATGATATAGTCCCTAAGGACATTGAAATTGGTCAAAGGTAGACAAGCAGTTAGAGGGAGGTTATTAACAGAAGGGAATCCAGAAATAGACTCATATACATGTGATAATTTAATGTAGGATAAATGGAATACTGAAAAGGTTGATTATTTAATAAATGATATTGGTATAGTTGGCTAGCTGTTTTTTAAAAAAGAGTAAGCTAGATCCTTACTTCACTTCTTTTATCAAAATGAATTCCAGATTGATCAAATATTTAAATGTTTAAGCTGAAGCTGTACAAGTTCTAGGAGAAAACATTGGTATTTTTTTTTTTTTTTTTTTTTTTGCAGTAAGGATGACTAGGCTTGACCCAAAATTCAGAAACAAGCAGGACAGGTAAATTTGCCTATACCATATTCTCTGAATGGCTTGAGAACTAGATGAATCTTTATATTATGTATTCATCAATCCCAGTTTCTGTTTTAACATGGCGTTAAAAGTTTAATGATACCGCTTCTCAGGCATTTGGACCAGTGCAAACATATGCTGAGCAAATAGGCTACTACCTGGTGATTCTAACAACTGTACTTGTGTCTGTATTGTCAGCATCCATGAACCATTTAAATTGATGGCATTTAATTTTATTGTTTGAGTTTTTTGATGACAATAATCTGTATTTTAACATTACTTTGAATGAACGAATGAAAGAGAAGTAACATCAGAAAAGAATTTGTGAGAAAACATACAAGAAACTAACATGCAAGTTACCTGTGGACCATGGTGCGGGGCGTGATGGGGAAGGCAAACCTCATGTTTATGCTGAGTTCCCCTGTTTAATAGAAATATGTGTTGCTTTTATGATGGAGAAGAACTTTTTTTTTTTTTTACATCATTGAAAACTAATTCAGAATTTTAGGTTTCTAAAATATTTTGTCATGTTCATAGCTTGGCCATTTCTTAGCTTAGCCAACTGCATAAACCTAAAACATTGGATTCTTACAGAGTATTCATTTTATTTAGTAATATTATAAGCACATATTTAACAAGATGTAGAATGTAAAATTCATGTAAATTGTTGTAGTAAAACAGCCATCAGAGAATGCCTGGGGGAACCCCTGTGAATTCGTCAACTCTTTTGGGAGGCATCCTTCATGTTACTCTGATGAGAAACTGAGAAACACTTCCCCGACTAAATAAACACAAGGGAAGGTGACTGGTAACATCCTTAAGCTTACTGAAGCTATGGAGTGGAAGGAAGTAGATTTCACAAAAGGCAAATTTTATTAGCTCAATTTAGCCCACTAAAATGAATGTTTCATTTTGTATTTTGGATTCTCACTGAGACTAGTAAATGAGCAGATAGATAGTTTAGTCATTAATATTATAATCTAATTAATGCTAAGGGAGCTAAATAAACTAATTTTAATCAAATCTACTTTGATTTACTCAGTGTCTCTGTCTCCCTGTTTGTCTCTTTCTTCCTACTACAGGTCACAGTAATGAAAGGCAGTAATAGAAATAAGGATCATTCAGCAGAAGGAGAAGGGGCTGGAAAAAGACCAAAACGAAAGTGTCTTCAGTGGCATCCATTGCTAGCAAAGAAACTTCTTGACTTTTCAGAAGAGGAAGAAGAGGAAGACGAAGAGGAGGATATCGATAAGGTAATTCCTGTGTTTACTATGGAAGTTTCAAGTTTGTTAGAGCAAATCATAATATTCTAGAAACAATAGTGAACGTAGGTGATATTACAAAAGATGTGTTTCCAAAAGCCTATATAGCTTGAATCCTGTTTAGTTACTTCGTTTACATTTTTATCCCAATTCTTGATGGTTCTTCAAGTATTTGTGCTTCCTAACAGTGTAGACAGAGGCACATCTTTTTAAATAGTATTTTTGTCATCTAATTAATGATTTGCGGGCAATATTCAAATACATTGAGATAGGGGTGTTCCTAAAACCTGATGTGCTCACCTGGCATTGTACCCTGTGGCTCTTCTGGCCTCACCTGCCACCATTGGCAGTCTGAGAGCTGCTTTCGTTGTCTCTCTCCATGGCCCTCACAGCATCTGGCTGCACTTGCCCTCAGTCTTTGTGATGACTCATTCCTCCTAGTCCTCTGCTCTGGCATCAGGCCTCAGCAGCTGACCCTCAGTCACATAACCATGCAGGTGACTTAAGAAGTCATCTCCAAGTATTCATCCCACCCAACTCATTCAAAGCCAAAGGATTTTCTTCATGGCACTTAATGCTGTTTGCCGTGTATCTAGCTGTGTACTTATTTATGTCTGTCTTCTCAGACCAAAATAGAAGCTCAGGATAAGACAGGGGCCTTGCCTGTCTCGTCCTTTCCTCTTGCCTCAGAATCGAGAATGGTGCCTGGCACATAGTAGGTATTAAATATAGATGTATGCTGAGTGAAAGAATAAATGAGTACATATTTTGTGTCACTACAAATTTTACAAACAAATGTTTTTGATATTTTTCAGTCTCTTTTTCTTGGCTTTCAGCAGGAATTAAAAAAACATTTTTCCTCTTTCTCAGACTTCATCTGGATACCCTCAAAGGTCTCTGTTACTGGTGACCTTTTCTCCTTTATCACAGAGAAAATGGAGGCCACCAGAAGTTACCCTTTTAGCTTCTTGTACACACATATGTAATTGTCTCACTCCTTACTAATCTTTCTTTCTGCTTTTCCTGTTTCAGAGAAATAGGTTTTATTGGTCTTACTTGAGGGTATTGCCAAACTTGTACTTAATTTCACTTTTTAACATATTTGAATGGGTTGATCACTTGGTCATTGACGCAGTCTCCTGTTTCTGTGAGGGCACCCACTCCTGTTTCTCTTCTTTCCTTTGGCCACCCACTCCTGTTTCTATTTCTCCTTTTTTTTTTTCTTTTTGGAGATAGGGTCTCACTCTATTGCCCAGGCTAGAGTGCAGTGGCACCATCACAGCTCACTTGCAGCCTCCATCTCCCAGTCTCAGGCAATCTTCCCACCTCAGCTCCCTGAGAAGTTGGGACCGCAGGCACATGCCAGTAAACCCAGCTAATTTTACTTATATTTTGTGACGACAAGGTCTCACTATGTTGCCCAGGCTTGTCTGGAAGTCATGGCTTCAAGCAGTCCTCCCTTGTCAGCCTTTCAGAGTGCTGAGGTTGTAGGCCTGAGCCACCATGCCTGGTCCCTCTTTCTATTTCTTCCTTCCCCACTGTTCCTTCCTAGTTTCAGCTAATGTCCCTGCATTATTTTCCCCTCAAATGATGATCTCTAGGCCTCCAATCTTGATTTCTACCTCCACCCTGGACTCTTCTTCTGAACTCTGGACTCATATTTCTATTTACTTGTATATTCGTTTAGATATCAACTAGGAATCTCAGTTTGAATGAATTCAAAATTAAGCTTTCCTTTAGTCCTCCCAGCCTTCTCCTGGATCTTCCCATTCTCAGTAAAGGACAGCGGCAACATTCCAGTTTGTCAGACCTGAGATCTTGTAGGTAATACTTTACAGCTTTATTTTACTCAAACTTCACATCCATTCATTAGCAGATCCTCTCAACTCTACCTTCAAAATATGCTCACAGTTTTGTTGCCCTTTTAACAGTTTCTTTCTGTACCACCTTGATCCAAGCCCCCACCATTTCTAGCAGAGATAATTGTCTCTACCCCTCTCTCCTTGCCTCTGCTCTTGCCCTTCGGCAGTCCATTCTCAACAAAGCAGAGGAATCCCTTCAAAATGTAAGGCCAGTGGTGCTCCTCTTTCTGTGGGGGGGCAAGGACTCTTTGTGCTCACTGCTCTGTGCTCCCTGTGTGCTCACAGCACCTAGAAGAGTGGCTGGCTTATAGCAGGAGCCCAGTAAATATCTACTGGGGGAAGGACTGAAGTCATTGAGTCCTCTTTTTACACTCGCACTCGATAATGTTGTTTGTACTCATAGCCTTAGCACCTTCTGTATGTTGGTTCCTCAGCTTGTTATCCTGCAGACATGGGTGTCCACACAGAATTCCCCACAGCCACTTCAATTTCAGCCTGCCCAGCACTGATCTCTCTACTCTCCACCAGACCTGATTTCTCCCGTTTGAAAACAAGTATTTTTGTTGTTATATATGAAGAAACTTTGCCGCCCAAGCTAGAATCACTCTTCCTTTTTCTCCCTTCCGAGCTAGTTACCAGCCACTCTTGGTTCTGCCTCATAAACATTGTCCCTGTTTGTCATTTCTCTGTTCCCATCAGTGCTGCCCGGATTTCAGCCCTATCCCTTTTTTGCCTGGTCGTCAGGAATAAATTTTTAACAGGGTCCTCTAGTTTGGGTTGCTTCTAGTTTTAAAATTCATGCTGTTGATAGAAGTTATCTCTTTAAAAAATAATCTAATGATGTCCCTCCACTGCTTGAAATCACGCATGGCACTTCGTTACATCGATCCTGCTGTGGGAACTAGTGTTGATTTTTCTTAGAAAATATTAATGAGCTCTTAGGGTAAGAAAAATAAGTTCTAAACTCTAAGAGTTTTTATTTTTATTTTGTTATTCAGGTATTCATGTATTTACTTTTTGACTAATAATTACCACATTAAATAGTAATCAAAACATTTTTTGATGTTCATAGTTGGCCGAATGAAAAGTTGACAAACTATGTCAATTAAATGTTTGTATTGGTCCACACAGTTCCAAACTGCTGGTTTACAGGATCAAATGCATGCGTTTAAATATGGCAGAGCACATTCTTCATGAAGTGGCACAGATCATCTTCTGTATCCTTGACTCCCCAACCCTGTTCTTTTTTACATACCAGTGCTGTCGAACTGCAAGTTGATGTTCTAATAAACCAGCAAGGCTTAATCCCTGTTAGTTCAGCATATCTCTCCATTGACAACCTGATACATACTGATTTCTTTCTTTTTTATTAATTTGTAATTTATATATATGTTTGTATATATGTACATATACGTGTGTGTGTGTGTGTGTGTGTGTGTGTGTGTGTGTGTGTATTTATTTATTTTTTTGAAACGGTTTTGCTCTGTTGTCCAGGCTGGAATGCACTGGCATGATCTTGGTGTAATGCAGCCTCCTCCTCCCAGGTTCAGGTGACTCTCATGCCTCAGCTTCCTGAGTAGCTGGGATTACAGGTGTGTGCCACCACGCCCAGCTAATTTTTGTATTTTTAGTAGAGACCAGGTTTCACCAAGTAGGTCAGACTGGTCTTGAACTCCTGACCTCAGGTGACCTGCCTGCCTTGGCCTCCCAAAGTGCTGGGATTAGAGCTGGGGCAACTTTTTTCAGGGAGGCTTTCTTGTACTTATAAATATCCACCAGTGCTTCTTTCTCTTGATGATTTCTTGTTGCATTCAGCACACTGCTTTTAAATTTATGTTTGTATGTTTTTTCCTCCTCCCAAAACATGAGGTCCTTTGTCCATCTTTTTACAATGAATTTTATAATTTAGTAACTGAATTAAAAGTTACTCTTCTCTGAAGGGGAAATATAATTGCTTCCTCATCTTATATATTAATAGTATACTTTTTTTCCCCTAGCTTCTTAGTTTCAGAATGCTACATATCCTTTGAAAATGCAAATTACTGTTAATGATTATGTACATAATGAGGAAGATACATATGTAGCCTTTACCCCCAGTAATAATTTCTACTATATTTCCAAAATAGATGGCTGTGACTTCAGGATTTTTTTCTATACTGTTTGCGTTTCAGGACAATTAATGGTTAATTAATTGCATTTGCAATACTTAATGGCAAAAGACTAAGACTTTTCCTTTTTTTTCTGAGACGGAGTCTTGCTCTGTTGCCAGGCTGGAGTGCAGTGGTGGTGCAGTCTCGGCTCACTGCAACCTTCGCCTTCTGGGTTCAAGTGATTCTCCTGCCTCAACCTCCCAAGTAGCTGAGACTACAGGCATGCACCATCATGCCTAGCTAATTTTTGTATTTTTAGTAGAGACAGGGTTTCACCATTTTGGGCAGGATGGTCTCGATCTCTTGACCTTGTGATCAGTCTGCCTCGGCCTCCCAAAGTGTTGGGATTACAGAATGAGCCACTATGTTTGGCCAAGACTTGTTAAAAACACCAGTCGGATTAAGCAGTGATTAGTTCTAAAGTATCTGTTTGTAACCGTTCCCCAATAAACATTGTGTAAAAGAACATGGTTGCCTGACATTTCTGGTTCTCAAAGTGTGTTCCTCAAACCAATAGTCTCAACATCACCTGGGAACTTGTTACGGATACAGATTCTCAGGACCCATTCCATACCTCGGAGCCGGAAACTCTGGGAATGGAACTTACAACCTGTGTTTTAACAGAACCTCCAGGGAATTTCGATTCAGACTCAAGTTTAAGAATTAACTGCAATACAGACTAATGGTTATAACTTGGGTGTCCCTAATCCGAAAATTTGAAATACTTATGGTCCCATGCATTTTAGATAAGAGATACTTAATCTGCAACTTGTTCTTCTTGATTTTAATTTCAAAACCAGAAATTGAGGAAATGGACTTAGTAAATATTCTGGACTTCTGTTTATAGTTCCATTGTTTCCAAGAAGCATTATAGAACCATTTTAGCCTTAGAAAATATTTTACAATCATATATTCTGAGATTCTGTAATCAGAGATGTGCTTTAAGAAAGTTAACCTGACAGGCATGTGCAAGAAGTACTGTAAAGAAGATTAAAAACGGGAAGACTAGGCCATAGGCCAAAGTGGTACTAGGGCAGTAGGAATGAGAATTACCCAGATGGAATGGACAAATTCGGAGCTTTGTAGAAGTCCTTGAACAATGATCGAATGAAGTGTAGACAAAAAAGAGGATTCAATTCTGATTTTGAAGGTTTAAGCCTAGAGGAGTTTATTCCTATCACCAGAGAATTTCACTAAACAAGAAGGCTTGAAATTTACAAGTTTAAAGATTTATTGTGTAGTTCTTCTTTCAAATAATCATGTTAAATATCAGTTTAGCTTTTTGTACACTACAAGACTCCACTTGTGCTTGCATAAACATTGAGTACTCTATGTTACCTTTTTATGACTTACTTTTATGTTAAATATTCTCATATTATTAGCTGTAGAAAAAGGCACTTTTCAAAGCAGAGAAAGACACAGCTACTATTCCTATATGTTATGTGGAGATTGTTAATCTTGCTGCCAATTAACCATAGAATGGGTTTATTCATTCATTCAACAATTAGTTAAGTACTAATATTATATCAGACATTGAGCTAGGCACTATGGTTGTAAAGGTAAACAAGAGAGCTTTTGTCCTCAAAGAGCTCACTGTTTAGTGAGAGAGAAAAAAATGTAAGCAATTATAACACAATGTAATCTATGCTGTAATAGAGGCATGCACAGGTTGCCATAGAAACTAAGCAGAAGGATACATCATAAGTTGGTTACCAACCATGAGCAGTGGTTGTTGATTTTTTTAAATCATATTTTTTCAATGTGTAAATTGTTTAAATGGAGCTAAGAAAAAATACAATTTGCAAACCAAGACTTAACTGTTAAATCAAAAGTATCCAAAATATGTTAAAGATCTGGCTTTGTTTTGGTTGGTAATAGGTTCAACTTCTTAGGGCCGATGGCCTAGAGCAAGATGTTGGTGAAACTGAAGATGATGAATCACCAGAGCAGCGAGCCCGGAGACCAATGAATGCATTTCTTTTATTTTGCAAACGCCATCGCTCTCGTGTACGTCAGGAACACCCCAGGCTTGATAACCGAGGTGCTACCAAGATACTAGCTGATTGGTGGGCTGTTCTTGATCCAAAGGAAAAGCAGAAATACACAGACATGGCCAAGGAGGTAGGTTACAATGACAAGGTATTCTGATAGCTAAGAGCAACCAGTCCTGAAACTCCCAGTCAGCAAATACAAAGCACCTGTTGAAGGTCTAGCAAAGAGAGGGTGAATCGTGAATCCGGTGTTACGTAAAAACATACGCGCTTTCTTTGTTTGCCTTGTTCCTGTTCCTGTGTGCAAAGTCTGTGGAAATGCTGGTGGGTGCCAAGAACAATATATTAACAAGAAGATTTTTCTCATTGTCTTAACCCCACTGACTGATATAAGGGATGATTATTGTGAAGGTTTATTATAAATGGTGACTTGTTATAATTTATTATAAATGGTGATTTTTTTTTTCTTTTTTAAGTTTTTCTAGAAACTCTACTTTTATTGTCAGAGAATGCCCATGGTAAAGTTGACAATCTTAGGTTACTTTAGTTATATCATGGGAGAGTCTTGTAAAGTTATTTGAGAAAGTTGGACAAAGACTTGTATCCTTTCTAGTGCTAACATTTTTTGATTTTGTAATAAACAAAACTATCAAAAATATGCTCTGACTTGTTTCTGCTCTGTAGGTAGTGCAGCATGAACCAATAAATGATTGAATGCCAGTGGAACAGGATGTAGTACAAGGTGTGCATGCCTGTAAATACTGTGTAGGCAGTAGTTAGTGGGAAGCATTTCCATGCAGGAAGGCTATTCAGAAAGGTGGCACATTAATCACTTCCAGAATGATAGCAGTTAGTAAACTCCTTCAAAACTTGTATCGTGGTTCTTTTACTATATTAATTTGGAATTAATGTGAGACCATTATACATTTAAATGTATTGTGATGGATTTAGCCCCCAAGTAAGGGATTTTAAAAAAGCAATATTATTGTGACTAAACTTGAAAGGAATAATTCTAACATTATTTCCTCAGTGTTGCAACTTGCAAAAAGATCTCGATTCATGAACCTCTGTCACCCAAACACTTGGTTAAGTTTCATCAAAAAATGAACCAGCAGAGGACAAAATATAAAATTTCAAGACATTTTACTAGACCTCTCTGTATGTGAAAAAATAATTCTTCCAGTTTCTGTGGCTTTATTGAGTTGTTTAATAAGCTAAAACATAAACATAAAACTTAAAAAATACACATAAAAATTTCTTAAGAAATGTTCATGGAAATTTAAATCTAGCGTAAGTTATTACCATAGTTGCTACTACTAATCATAATTATTAATAATTTTATTGTAATTAGTAATTATAACATAATTAATAATTATATAATTAATCAGACAAGTCAAGAATTGACTGTTAAAGACAGGATTTTAACTTTATAGGGTCTCTAGAAAATATGGTTACCTACATGATTTTAAATATTTCATTAGATTTCCAAAACAGTAATTAACAGTAAAATTTTCTCATTAAATAGCCTTACATTTTTCATAGTCATGCTTATGTAGTAAAATGATTATTTGAAACCTCATAGGAAACTGCATAAGCTTCCTATAATTAAACACTTGAGTTTGTTTTAGATGGCTGTTTTTGGATAATATGCAGCCTGTCCCCTGTATATTGTTTGTTTTTTCTTAAAAACTCCTAATTTACAAACCCAATAGGTGGCCACTTTTAAGAAGAGGAAGTATTATTTTCATACAGGAAATCCCTTACTAATTACTTAATTGGGTTCACAATATTTGCCGTTGTGGCACTGAAATGAAATCTCTTAGGTGGCCCAGTATTTAATAAATGTGGAGACCATAACTGCATGTTCCATGTTATAATTTGCCTTGTTTATAGTTGCTGTTATGAAATGTTGCCTCGTTTCTACTGCAAAGTTTGGAAGATTCAGATACTTTCAAAATTAATACACAATTGGTCTCTAGTCATAAGTGATTTCTACTTGTTTCAACTTACTAAATGGTTTTGCAGTTACATTAAAGTGCATATAATTGTGCTGGTGCTTTTTGTGTTATTATTGCACCCTTAATTGGAATGTCAGTTCAGTCACCAACTACTTGGTAAGTGCCTTCAACTTAACCAAATTTTGTGATAGTTGCTAGTGATACAAGGCCGCTGGTAAATGTGGTCTTTTTTTCAAGGCTCCCTAACACAGAGTCATTTTTAAAACTTTTTCTAGATGTGTAACCTTTAAATTTTAAACCCCAAATCTTAGATGCTGTCCATTAGGGTACAAGACAGCTTCTTTCAGCATAGTGTATGGATGTGGATGTGAAATGTTTACGTAATATTTGCTAGTATGTGTCCTGCTGTTATCAGTTGAGTGTTTCCCTTTTCTTGTTTTTAAAAGAAGCATATTTTAAAAACAAGAGTGAATAATAAAACAACTTTGAAAAGATTGTTTTTTACCTATTCATGAAAATGTCCCCTTACCCTTTCCCTTGCTTCTGATTATCTTATATTTTTCCAATTGGATCTAGTAATACAAAGCACCTGTTCTGGGATTTGTTTTGTAGTTTCTTAAATTATTGCTCAATACTAATTTACATTGCTGGAAAAATTGATTGATTGTGGGTTATGTGTTCTCTGATGAACTTTATTAGAGCAATAATTCATTAAGTAATTTTAAAAAGACTGTTCTAAGGATACAACCTGGGTTGGTTGCTTTCTTCACTTCTGTAGTATGCATGATGATACAATGTTGTGGATGTTCACAGGTTCTAATTTTTGAATGTGTTAGGCACGGAAAATTGACTGCCTGTTAGGCGCAGAAACAGTTGTATCTTTCCTTTTAACATCTTTATGTATGTACTCTTACAGGAATACAAATCTCGGCATTTTTGCCTACAATACTGCTGGAATCTTCCATTTGTCATTTAAACTAATGATTATAATTAATGACTTGATGATCAATTGGAAGGATCACACATCCTGAACTTCAGCTAGAACAGAGTACAAAGAGGAGGGGAGGATTTGGAAAGTTTAAACAATTTGAATGACCTTTATCATACCTACCATTTTAGCATCAGAGGCATGAGGCAGAATTTGTGAATTGATTGATTGGTCCTTTCTGTGCTTAGTGTATAAAGTAAGCACCAACCTGTAAAGTGAGTTATGATTATCCCCATTCTTCAGTCAGGAATCAGGCTCTGAGGAGTTAGTGTCTTGATCAACCATACATTTAGTATACAATGGAGCTGTGATATTCTTTCCCATTTGACTCCTGTTTGTCCTTCTAATGCATATATCACCCTACCCACTTTAGATGCCTGAGAGATAAGTTTATTTGGGTAATTATGGCAAGAATGGTAACAATGAAATGTCATGAGTCTTATGGGAAGAATCTGCTTGTGCTGGGGAGGGACGTGAGTGGAAATGGATTAGGAAAGGCAGAATTTGGCCTGGGTTTTTGTATGGGATTCAGAGGGAAGGAAAAGGGTAAGAGTAGATGTGGGAAAGGGAAATCAATTTCAGGAACCAGATAGTTTGTTTCACCTGGAGCCTAGGTTGTACACAGAAGAGTAACAGAAAATGATGATATAAAGGTAAATAAGGCAAAAACCACGAGAGACCCAGACTTAAAAGTTCGGAGGTTCAGCTGTATGCCAGTGAAACAGCTATGGAATTAAACGTAATGAAATGCAACTTGAGGGTGAACTGTACTGGCCCCTTCAAAGTGTAGGTATCTATTTTTGTCAATACTCTGGGAAAGGTTTTCACCACCACAAAACTCCATGGGGGTTTTATTGGTTATTCTTTCATATTTCTTCAAGACAATGAATCTATTTTTTATTATTTTCAGCTGGGATAATTTTTGTGAAGCCCATTCATTGCCTTGTTTTGGCTTCATCAGAAATTGACTCTTTTCCAAAGAAAATACTCTCTCATTTTCTCATGTATTATAATCTGGAGAACTTTCCTTACCTGTTATGCATCAGGCTTAACAAATGGAATGTGTATTCTTGCAAGCATGCTGTAGCACTCTGCACACCATTAGAGTAGCACCTCATTTCTCCAGCATTCTTGAGAAACAGGTGATGAAACTTTACTGTTCCTTTAAAAACTTTTATTTTATATAGTTATCCTAGGATTCTCATTAAAATTTTGTTTACATACTTAAAGTATTCAGAACATTTCTGTACTTTTTTTGAAAACTTTAACACATTATTTTCACAGGAGTTACTTTATGATCTATGATTTGTTGAGACTTTTTTGTGAATAATGTTTTTTCTATATAGTAATTCTCAATTATTTTGTTATTTTGAATTTCCTCTCTGCTTTTCCATTTTGGTTTTGTTGTTTTGTTTTTTTGTGGGGGTTGAGGGGTCCACCTGTAGCTAGCACTTGCCATTTCTCTCCTCTGTCAGTCGCTTTTGGCTACTTCTAATCAAATGGCTTTCCTTTTTGAGTATGGTTTAATTAGGGGCCTCATCACATTTGGGGGGTATAGATAGTAAACCTAAAGATTTAAGCTTTGTGTTTCACAACATTCCTTGTTTCTGAGACCTTTTCCATTCCTGTGTTCCAGATTCTAAGACTTTCTTACTGTATTTAAAGAAATAGTCAAATATTTGCTTCTAGAATGATAATAACTTTGTGAATATTGCTCTATCATGTCCATGTTCTTTTATAAACATTTAAATGTTTTTAAATTCATTTTGTTAAATTATTAAATTCTAACTCATTTAACCTCTCTTATCAGACCTTTTTAAATTGCCACATCTATAAAATGGCAATCAAGATGCCTGCCCTCACAGAGTTGTTGTAAAATACAAATAAGGAAATATATGTACAAACATTACATGAAGTTTAAAACTCTATACTGTTGTATTTAAGCGAGTTAGAAGGAAAGCACCATGCTTTGAGTTTGAATTTAGGAGTTTTTTTTTTTTTTTATTGCCGGTGACCAAGAGTTAGCTTACTCTTAAAATTTCTTGGCCCCGAGGAAGGGGCTTGATTTCCCTTTATACCTTGATTTAGGTAGTAGAAGGGGAGCCTAGCTGAAGCAGAACTTTACAGAAGCAGAACAAGCAAGTTAGCTGTGGAAGCTCGTAACCAGGAGTCAGGAGGTTCCCA